TGTATCACATATAAAATCATACCCAGTAGAGATAATGCTACGTATTTTATTAAAGTAAATTTAACGGGGAGTTCAAAGAAAAAACAATTATGCTGATAGCTCGTTTACATCAAAAGATATAGGTGATTTAGTAAAACACTACACTTTCAACCTGGTGTTTTGGGGGAGGGGGGGTTTTAAGGGGAAGCAAGGGGGGGAAATTCGGGGAACTTTCAGAAAACACCCTTCCTATCATACACTATCACCATGCAAAAAATCAGCTTTACATCTTTCATGTCTTTGTTAACCTTGATTTTTAACTTAAGTTACTGGGCTATTTCGGCCTTAGCTTTCATAAAAAGGTTAAAATGTTAAACAGGCTTGTAATTTTTTTAGTATATTTGTTCTTATACATAATTTGTTAAGATATGACTGTAAATATTTAGTTTTAGTGACGTGAGTTGTTCCATGTACTGAGAAGGTCTCGAGAATGAAGGAATTTTGATTTGATTGGATTAATAGTAGTTATTAGTCGTAATGGATCCGAAAAGCTACAGAAAGCATTACATAATATGTAATGCTTTCTGTAGCTCAATCAATTTTTCAATTGTAGCTCTAGTCAATTTTTGCAATAAGAAATGTAAGGGTAATTCAAATATTATTTGAATTACCCTTACATTTCTTATTGCAAAAATTGACTTTCATGAAACGTTAAATATAATCGAAGTTAGTAGTGGAATCTTAAAGTTTATCTGTTAAATCTCTGAACTTGGAAAACAAATTTTTAAATGCCCGACTGCACTTCCATTTAGATAACGCTTTTGTGTTTGCTATAGGTTTTTTTCGATGAACCTTGTTTATAACTGTACTACAATTGTAGTAATGTTATACATTTTTCTTCATTATTTTTTTTACCCAGAAACATTGTAATTTGGTTGTTTATAACTGTACTACAATTGTAGTAATGTTATACATTTTTCTTCATTATTTTTTTTACCCAGAAACATTGTAATTTGGTTATAAACATATTGAAAATGTAATAATTTTCAGCTGATGCTGAGACGTTTCTAGCAAAATAATGACCTTGATTGGAAAGTAAATAAGTACGGTACAGCAGTCAATCGTCACAACTAATAAACGTTAACAATATAGACGTATTTTTCTAGTATTCATGATATAGACGAAATTTATTGGTGCAAATGTTTCTTGCAACATGTCTCGTCAGTGTGATTTATCTAAACACACGCTGTATTGGAAAGATTGTGCACACCTCTTCAAACATTGGCTGTAAAATGCGTCACTAAATATTTGCACTATCATTACTTGCCACGGGTCGATTATGTTGTGCGTCACTGCATATTTGTACTGTTAACATTTTGTTTACCTTGCAGTTATTTGATCACTTAATCTATGCTTGGATCTCAAGTTTTTAACAATCTTTCTGTATTATACGCTACATTAAACTTTGTGAACAAAAAGGCTTTTTCGTTTTGAGATTTAACCCCACATATTATATTTATATAACAAAATGTTCGTCTAGGTGTGTAGATTCGCAAACTGACCTTACATTTTTGAAGTCCCTCGGGTTCTGCCCCAGTGCTAGTGGTTTTTTAAGTTGACATGTTATCCTTATGAAGAACATATTTGTTTACATTATGATCGTATAATTTAATTGATGTTAATATTTTTGTTGAAATTTAAACAACACGTGTGCTCAAACATTTACTGACTTGGTTGAAATGAAATATTTACTATTTGAATTTGGGTTGGGGGAAATATTACAATGGAAAAAAGCGAGAAAGCCTGGACAATTTGATACACTAAAAATGAAACTGAATTAACACTGTGCCCCATTTCTTAAGCAAATCATTGAAAGACCCGATTTGCAAACTACTGTGTGAGTATGGAAATGTAGGAAAGTCATAGAACATCACCAAGTAAAAGAAATATGTATATCATCGTAATTATGGACAACCTAATGCGGCTATGAGTGGGAAACATTTTGTAGAAAACACTAAAAACAAGATTAGTTTTTGAAAATATGATAAGATATTTACAAGAAATTTTGATTATATATTGAACTGCTATGTACATCAAAATGTATGTATGTATGTATGTATTTCAATGATCTTGTAGTCGACTTTTTTAAAGTCATCGTAAATTATGACTGTTATTGGTTTTAAAATTACTCCTGTAATACTTTGCAATTGCTTGAATTCGAGCAACAGGTATACTAGTTATTATTGTTGTTATATTATTGTTGTAAATTCTGGCATTGCACGTTTTTATGGTGTGTTAATGAACATATTTTTATCACCACACTTTACTACTGTACTTTAAATTTTGGTGGAGCAAATTCCCCAAATTCATTCCAGTCTATCTGCATTGGTTTTACATTATACTGGTCGATTCGACAGTGGGTCACTGTATATTTTTAAACTACAGTTCTCATAACTGTATCTCTATTGGGTTGTAGCTGATAAAGAGTTCGGAAATATCCACCCACTATCGTCACGACATTCCTGACATTGTTAACATTGAGCCGTGCCTCGTTGTGAATCACTGGGAGATATTGCAAGTAGTACAGTACAGTAAAATATTACTTAACTCGCCATATGCTTTCGAGAAAATATATAAGTAAACTTTATTTATTGTTTTTGATTAACTATGAAAAAAATTGTTTTGTTCACAAATGGTTGGTTTTAGGGAGGGTTGCACGACGTCCAAATGTCACGACGTCCAATGAAAAATATAAGTCAGTGTCACGACGCGACGTCCAAAATATAATTTTTCAGCTGCCTCACGACGTCCAATATATACTATACGACTGTTGCACGACATCCAAATATCATGTCTAAAAGGCCCGTTTTGCCAGAAGCGTCTCGTGCGTCTATCGCTCAGCGATTATCGCTCCGCGTCTATCGCTGCCCACTGCTTTGCATTGTTTTAGGTTAGTCTATTTTGCCAGAAGCGTCTATCGCTACAGCCGCCAGCGTCTGCAACTGAGACGCTAGCGTCTGACGCGGACCACTGCTCCTGGAGCAGACGGAGACGCAGTCGCTAGCGATTATTACTGGAATAAGCACGTGTTTAGTTGTTGACTTAACTTTTGTTTCCTTAAATAAGTTGTGTTTTCAAGTTTAGTGACATGTCACTATCAAAGTGGGGATTTAATATTGAAGAAGATGAAAAACTGAAAAAACTAGATGACACTAGTGAAACTTGGTCTCATCAGAGCGAAGGTGATTTCCAATCAACAATTTAAAATATCCCTCTTCAGGTCTCTTTAAAAACATAGTGCGCACTTCTTCCCTAGGTTTGACCCTTATTTCTAATATCTCTTCATCGTCTAATCCCTCAGCTAACAAATACTTTATACTATTTACTTTTTACAGCTCATTTTCAGAAAAATTCTTTTCGCCATCAAAGTAAACCACTCACTGATCAAATAATCGCAAGAAACAGACGCTTCTGGCAAAATAGGCCCGAGCGATAGACGCTGATCGACTATCGCTCTAGCGATCATCGCTAAGCGTCAGACGCACCGGACGCTTCTGGCAAAACGGGCCTTAATAGCACGTTTTGGTGTGCATGAACGTGATTTGTCGTTGTTATAGGTACTGTATTTCGTAACCTGCGGAGTTTTTTTTTTTTATTTCAGCTGTCAATCGGAACTTGTAAGCAATATTTCGAAGTATCGTCGTCCAAGATACGGGACCCGTTACTTTGCTTTCATTAGATAGCTCGAAATTTACTATTCCCTGTAAGTTGTTAACTATCAAGAGAGTGTAAAGCGAAGAAGAGAATGTAAATTGACCAAGATTAAAAGGGAAAGGCTTGTCCCTTCTATTACATTGGGGTCCTGGATCTTTCCTTCCTGGCGCCAGTTGGCATGGTTTTCAAACATCCCTTCAGATGCTTAAACAACTGGCGATCAATAAGTTTATGTGTTAAATTTGTTATTTAATTTTGTATAGTGGTACAAATGTTTTTTTGACATTATTCGTAACTAATTTGATTTTTTAGTACAGACTTCGGATCCTATCTTATCTGCAAGCATTCTTCAACTGTTGGGCTGGATATCTTTTTGATTTGGACTGCAAATATGAATAGGATAGTGAAGAAAAACAAAATAATTTCATTGCTCATTGGCTTACTGTTGTTCTAGTGTTATTGTAGACCTCTTGGATATTTGTCGTGTGTATTTCACAGCGTAGATTTGTCTGTAGTGTGGGCATTATAGATTACAATAACTAGGTTTACAGCTAACATCCACTCCAATCCTGAAGCTGCCTTATGGTTCGTTGCTTTTGTGACTGTTTGTTACTGATTATCTGCAGTTAAATCTTATAAGAACAAGCAATAGTTAAGTTCTGTATTCAATCAGAACGTTAAATAAACTGTTTGCACGGTACAATTATATTGAAATCCCATTTTCTCGCCAAAGGTATAGAGTCGATCAGTAATTTAAAAACAAATGCGGCGTTCAATTAATTGTCCATACAGTTGGTCGTAATTTACATTCTTGACGTCTGCACGTGTCAACATTACGCCGGGCGCCGACTGAAATCAGTATTTAACAGCTTTTGGTAATTATGTCGGTGGATCAATAAAATAATTGTTTAGATTTTTACCATCCACGATGTTAACCTTTCAAATACCCCTTGGTTTCCGATGGCATAACCTTGACTTTGATAGTATAAGAAAACCGTGATAACGAAGGAATTTCTTTACAAAATAAATTAGACTCGTGGTCTTGAGAATTAACTTTATTGTGAGAACAAAGGCAAATTAGTAGAATATCGACTATAGTGAATGTATGCGGAAATGGATGGCTGCCATGACTGACGAGATATCTCAGGGAACGCTATTGTCAGGACGAGATTAGCAAAGTGTTTGTATCAGGAGTCTGTGATTACTTCCGGACCACAGCGGCCGTCGACTGTTGTTCTCCGCATGGCATGTTGTTCTCCTGACATCCAGTGCTGGCTTGAGTAATAATGATGTGTTATCTGTTGCAGAATGTACGCAGTTGGAGGACCCGAGACTGGAGTGGCGAGCGATACAGGAGGCCATGCTTAGAGACTACCTGCATACGGCACAGGACGTGCTTGAGGTATGTGCGACAGTAAATCAATTCTAAATCTGCTGTGTAGTGTGTAGCGCTGCAAGTCGATGACATTTGTCGGTCACACAGTACAGTAGCTGCAGCTAGCTCACTGTGTTTGTGTAGAGTGTAGCGCTGCAAGTCGGTGACATTTGTCGGTCACACAGTCGTCAGTCACAGTAGTGGCAGCTAGCTCACTGTGTAGTATAGCGCTGCAAGTCGGTGACATTTTGTCGGTCACACAGTACACAGTAGCTGCAGCCAGCTCACTGTGTAGTGTAGCGCTGCAAGTCGGTGACATTTGTCGGTCACACAGTCACAGTAGCTGCAGCTAGCTCACTGTGTAGAGTGTAGCGCTGCAAGTCGGTGACATTTTGTCGGTCACACAGTACACAGTAGCTGCAGCCAGCTCACTGTGTAGTGTAGCGCTGCAAGTCGGTGACATTTGTCGGTCACACAGTACAGTAGCTGCAGCTAGCTCACTGTGTAGAGTGTAGCGCTGCAAGTCGGTGACATTTGTCGGTCACACAGTACAGTAGCTGCAGCTAGCTCACTGTGTAGAGTGTAGCGCTGCAAGTCGGTGACATTTGTCGGTCACACAGTACAGTAGCTGCAGCTAGCTCACTGTGTAGAGTGTAGCGCTGCAAGTCGGTGACATTTGTCGGTCACACAGTACAGTAGCTGCAGCTAGCTCACTGTGTAGAGTGTAGCGCTGCAAGTCGGTGACATTTGTCGGTCGCGCTGGTATGCGGCGCGGCCAAGGAAAGTCTACTCTAATGAATTGAACGTATCTCGGGTCGGCGCGGTGGGGGAATGGAATGCAGTCTCGCGCGGTGTTGCCACATCGCGGCCGAGGAATGTGGAAAGCTAAACACCGCCCGGCCCGTGCGTACACTCCGCTGCACTACCACTACACTACACACTTTACACTACACATTATACATTGCACTGTACTCGGTCACTGAACATCGTGATTTGATACATTTATGAACTAAAGAGTATAAATGCTAGTCGTTTACGTACTGTTTTCTTTCACGCTGACCCTGAAACTTATTCTTCTTATCTTGCATTGAAATGTCAATGTTACAATAATACCGCAAATTTAGGAAATCAACATAATTTTATTTATTAGAAACTTAATTGTTGTTCCATAAAAACAGTTTGAATTGAGTACTGGAATGTTTAGTAATGGATCACTTTGTTATTAATTTTTATAGTTTAGTATCAAATAATCATTGTTGCTCACAGTCATTATCAATCATAATAAATATGTTATCATTCGAACGACCCTATTTTTTATCATCACTGAGCTAGTTCTGCAAATAAGTACTGCAGTTATTTATCTAAGACATAAATACGTTGAAATCTGATAACTGTCGACAACCATTAAAACGAGGTAAATAATAGTTTATCCGCAGTAAACTAATCAATAATCAAAGAATTAGGTCAGTAATGCTACGTCAAAACCTTGACAAGGGTCATCGACAAGATTCGTGGATTATAATCAACAAAATTTTATACTAAATGCACGCTAGTATTGTTATCGTTGTGTAATGTAGCATATTCCTTGAGCTTATTGTTTATGTGATAGTTTTGCATCAATTTACCATGCCCTTCTTCAGCGTCTAAATTCTATGTTACTTTTGCACATAGAGCGTTTTCTCCCCCTGCTTCAAGATTCAGTGTTTGTTTTGCTAATCTATTTTCCGATTTTGTCCTAGATTTTTATATTCCGTGTTTGCTTGTACAATGATATGCAGGTTGTTCGTTCAGGTTCCTTTATTTTTGTTTTGTCCATCAATTGGCCGTCTGAATCCTTTGATTAATTACACATTATTTGACGTTTCCCCCTTCAGCTTCTATGTTTCTATGTTTGTTTTGAACTTAATTACTGTTGCTTTAAGTGTTTAAGTCCCATATATTTCACATTCCTCCACCGACCTCTAGCTGTCTTGTTGCCCGTGTATGTTGTGGTTATATGTTGCATATCCGCCGCCGCTTCCTTCCCTTGGCCCTGTTTTTACGCGTAGCTGAGTCTCAAGTATGCTGATGAGATTATTGTTGTTCACGCCTTTGGATATCAAACCTAAACCTGCGTAACTTATGGCTTATGAATAGTTAACTACCCGTGAAATACCTGGTGTTTAATGTGTTAACTCTTCGAGTAGGATGACAACTTTGTATGTCCACAAAACACGTATCTGTATACATATTCCAGTATTTGAGAAACCTTGTAGTTTAAAGTAATTTGTTTTACAACAAACATTCGTCGTATCAATTGAAATTTTGGATTCTGCTCAACTGACAATGTCAATAAATGCCATGATAATGAATGATTCTATTTTATTTTATTTTCTTCAGGTGAAACACTTGTTTGGTAATGGTCCCTAAATATAGTAAATCTTCTTCCATCTGGTAAAAAATAGACTACGTTTTTTCTTATCTACGCTATAGGGGGTTTCGTTTTTTGTAAGAGAACTGTCCAAAACTCTGGTCTTGATGCTATCTAGTGTCGCCTTTTTGTTGTGTAGCATTATTAATAATTGTTGTTGTAATGACAAATGGAATTCGGGTCCAAAATCAAACAAGTGTTCTTTAAATTATTAACTGTACGTTTGTTTAGTGATTTGATGACAACTCAACAACGACATAATTATTATCTAGAACATCGTTAAGTCCATAAAAAACCTTACTTATTACAACTGTAGGTAGGAGATTCGTCCTCTCTGAGACTGTAATGCCTTACCCCTAACTGCCTCCCTTTTCATCGTAATTAAACTGTGGACCATCGCGTGCTGTGTGTTGACGTCACGGGAGAGTATGACACTTGACAGCTACTTGTGACGCACACTGAAACATGTTGCACCTACGTCAAGCCACAGATTAAACAAACTTCCTACAGATTTATCAGTTATCACACTTGGATAACCTAAAGACACTTATAATGTACAATAATATGCAGGTTGTTCCTCCAGGTTCCTTTTTATTGTATACGTATATATAAATATGTTAACATTTTTAGTCAACACACATTATCACCTTCCCAAACATAAAATATAATACAAGCTTCATATTTTACAATGAGGTGAGAAGTGTATTCCTACTTTTCAAAGTCAATGATCGAACAAAGCCCCATCTATACACATCAAGCACATTTTTTATGTGCTTGATGTCTCTACACAAACAACAATAAATCAGTTTCTTTTTTTATCAACTCTAGTTTGATTTTGTACACTATTGTTGATAAACTACTAATCGAATGATAATTCTTGATTTGTATAATGCAATTCTGTGTTTTCCCACTGATAGCCGGAACTTATCGATATTTATCTATCGCTTTGTGCAGTTATCATCAAACATCAAACAAGAGCACTATTGTCAACACGACACCTGTGTCAGTAGTTAATAAACAAACGCATGATAAGGTCACGCTCATTGGATAATCTACCAAGGACATTTGGATGAGGATCTGTTATCTCGAATCTTTCTGTATACAGCATTCACTCTAAAATTGCGGATGTTAACATCTGTATTGGTAAACAAATGAGGTTTTATACTCTCTCCATACTGCGTTACAAGTGCTATTCCTACACTAAATTGCTGTAGATTCATTACCTACTTATCAAGTATTTTATTGTTAACTTTGACGGCTTTCGTTTTGAATGATAATGTACAATGCTAAAAGTATTCGTTATTTTGTTAAATATGTAGGTAGTGTTAGAATAAATAGCACCAGCACATTTTCAAGTCTTCTATGTCTGTATGTCGTAATTCTGAGTTCTACTCTGGCTATTTCCAAGGCGATATTAGAGTGATCCCCCCAAATCTTATGCTCCCAAATGTTAACATATCAATATGTGGGTTGAATTAGTAAAAGGGGTTAGTTAGTACAAGCATAGATAAAAGGAGTCAAGGCTTTCAAATGGGATTCTCGTGAAGAAGTGGACCCACTGTACTTGTACAAACACCCCTTGTACACCGTACTTCCGCATGTTGGCATTTTCATGTACACATGAAGTACAGACGAAAATAATATAAAAGCCCTACTATGAAGTTGAGTTGCTTAAATACGAAATTTTCAAAGTCTAGTGAACACTGATACGAATACTCATTGCATTTGGGTATTTTGTTATTCTTTTACAACTCTCCAGTAGCCTACAAGACTGAAGTTGCATTGTGATTGTGTCAGCTATTGTCACAATGTGCCAAATAGTGATTGCAGGCAGTTCAAGGACTCTGGCCGTGATACAAACACGGAATAGTGAGGTTTTGGCATTCTCGGGCCGCGCGCGTGGCAGCAGCGGCGTTGTTGTGTTGTGACACCGACTGTACCTCAGGAATGTGCTCTGTACACTCGCATCGCACCATCTGGCAACACCGCGCCTCTCGACCGCGCTACCTGTGTTACACGCATACCACTCACCACCACTCACACACACAGCAATCCCCACCACTGGACCGTCAATGGGAAACTGCAGATGCAGAACTGCACAACAAATCAATCACTGCAGATTATCACCCAATACTGTGATGGATAATACTCAAGTAATTGTTAGCAACTCCGAATCAAACATAGTTACCGACCACCGACACACTTGCTAGAAGAGTTTCAGCGGAGTAATAGTCAAAACTAATTGTTTTAATTACGACATCAAAGGATAAACTAACATAACACGACACACGTGAAATTGAATTTAACATGCCATTTTTGGAATCGTAGGCTGCAATGGAATTAAAACCATGCTCATTCAAAGAGTACACAATAGTAAAGCCTAGTTCGACTGAGTGCAGAACATTGGACATAGTTATGTGTGTGTGTGTTGGTGATTTGAATTATTTTCGAGTTTAATTTGTTTGACGCTTGCGCTTGACACTGTGTTTGTTGAGCGTTTTTGTACAATCTGAGCTGAAACGTCGCATTTATGTGTTTTTTTAATCGGGAACTATCTCTGCTTTTGATATTGTGACCACGAATCTGAATATCGAAAGAGTTTTTGAACTTGCAGTGC